TTCATTTCCTAGGGATTGGCACCCTATCTAAGGTAAAACAAAGCATGAGGCTGGCTGAATACATAGGGCCAGAAGGACAGAGATGAAGGCTGAGGCTATATATGGCTAAGGTCGTAGTGAATTAAAGGGTCATGATCTGTTGCAGTCTCAGAAATGGACCATAAACCAACTCATGCTTCTTGGAAGAATATTATGCGATTCAGGCTGTACAAAAACAGGGCACAACAACTGTCAAACTTTCTGAGGTACTAATGGACCTACTCTTAAAATGGTTAACTGACAAACCTGTCTGGGTTTGGCAGTGGCCTTTGACATCAAAGAAATTACAGGCTTTAGAAAATCTGGTTCAGGACCAGCTAGACACTGGACACATTGCAGAATCTTACCAGCCCTGGAATTCTCCTGTATTTGTTACTAAAAATAAATCTGGAAAATGGAGAATGCTGAGTGCCATAAATAAAGTAATCCAGCCAATGGGTTCTCTACAGCCTGGAATGTCTTTGCCTTCTCTGTTACCTAAAGAATGGCCTATTGACTTGAATAGTTATTGACTTGAAAGACTGTTTCATCACTATACTTTCACAAGAAAAAAGATAGGGGAAATTTGACTTCACAGTGCCTACTTATAACAGCTCTCAGCTGGTTAAGAGATATCAATGGATGGTCATCCTGCAGGGAATGTTAAATAGCCTCACCCTGTGCCAATATTTTGCTTAAAAAAAAAGGAAAGAAAAAAACATTGGAAATAATTTGTGTACATTTCCCACAATCTATAATTTACCATTATATGGTAGACACTTTAAAAAATATTTGAAGAAGTAAGAAAGCTTTGCCTTACTGGGGATTACAAATTTCTCCTGAAAAAAAATACAGAGAGGAGAATCTATTAATTATTTCAGATATAAATAGTTCTACAAAAATTTAGATCACAGAGGTACAAATCAGGAGAGATCGATTACACCAGGTGAAGTGAGAACCCACAAAAGTATAATAACCAATTTATTAAAGGGTGCAATGAAAAGACAGAAACTCACAGACAGAGGGCAAAGCAGACACCACCATTGATCCTGCTGCCTTTGTCCAGCCATTCTGCCCAGGGGTCAGGAGCACCAAGCGTGCTGTCTCTTAACTGCTTGGTCTCCCACCATGTCAAGCTCCAGCAAGAGCAAGAGAATGAAAGAGCCTCTCCCTCCTGGTTGCCACTTGTCACATAGCAGACAAGACTATGGCCTAGGGATGGTGCCCCAAGGCTATAGGCAGATTGAGTTCCCATAACAGGGGAGCTTATCAAACAGCCCATTTTCTATTCTTCAATCCCAGTGAATCAAGAGTGGACACAGGTTACATTCTAAAACTTTGCCTAGAGATACTGGTGGCCATCTTATCTCTTGCTAAGAAATGTCTGACGGATTGAAAAATGGAGGAATCAGAGCAGAGGGAGAGAGGGGATTGCAATTATGAACCCTCAGATCCAATTATGACTGACGTTTAGAGATTTGATATTCACCTGAGCAATAAGCCTCCTGTCATATATCTAAAACATTAATTTATTTACTGAGACAGGACCTTATTTAATCTAGGCTTGTCTCAAACTGACTATATAGCCAAGGATGACCTTGAACTCCTGCATCTACCTCCTGAATGCTGTTTTTACAGCTTTGATGTTTAAGTCAGTTTGAGTTGGGATGGGTTTTGGTAATGACTGGGCTCTGAACTTTGTTGTTCTTATCACACATGTCCCTCCCTGAGGGTTTCAGAATACTGGTTCCTTTTGATAAAAAGAAAGTTAACTTTAAAAGCTCCAAGAAAGGCAAGGTCTGAGGTTGTGCCGGGTGTCCCACGCCTATCATAAACATTGTTCATTTACTAGAAGCCTTCTCAATGCAGAATTCTTGGCAGCTGCGGTCAGTCATTTGGATTTGCCTCCAAGCTGGAATCTATGTTCCAACGAAGCTGAAGAGACCTACCTACATCACTGCACTTAGAGTGCCAGTCAGAGGGCCAGGAAGCTGCCTCCGATGAAAGCAGGAAGCAGGGGACTAACTGTGGCCTTTGTGGGGGACACTAGTTGATCACAAAGCCAGGTGCAGCTCTGATATTGGCAAAAATCAAAGTGTTAGTATTTAACCATGAGCCCTTGCCAGAGACGGGCTGTGGGGTGGGGTCTTGGTGCAGCATCTCCTAAAAGGGGAACTCAAACTGACTTCTGGGGTTGCAGGAGGGGGATAAGGCAAGAGGATCCTGATAGGTGTCATCTGGTAGGTGGGCAGCCTCACAAAGAACCTTCAGAGCCCTCAGCTCTGGCCCCACACCAGCTATTAAAAACTGGCTAAAACACAATGGGTTTGCCTTTCCTTCATGCCCAGGGGTGCTGGCTACAAGCAGAACACATTTGCTCAGGCAAAAACTCCCCCCCCCCCAAAAAAAGCTGGTTCTTTCTAAATCCGTGATTTCTAATTCTGAGGCCGACGGGTGCTTTTCTCACATTCCCAGAACTCAAAATCAAGCTGACATTTCTAAAATTGCATTTTGAGGGGAGTGACTCCGTGTCAGTTGGGGAAAGGAGGCAGGCACTGATGGTGTCATTCCCAGCCCCTCCTCCCAGTGTGAGTATTCTTCATCGATTCGCTGGGGGGGGGGCCAGGAGGGGAAAGCGGTCATGCACAGGGTCATGCTGAAACCATCAGCAACAGGAGGGCAACCAAAGGAAGCCAGAGGAAGACGCTGCTCCCTCCCTTATGCTCCAATCTCCCTGTGGCTCGGGCTGGAGATGGAGAAGTGAGGCTGTGGGCTAAGAGGATGAGGACACTCCGCCTTCTTCACGTCGGAGACGGGGTTAGTGTCACAGTTAGGGAGGCCCCGAGGTGGGGTCCACAGGAACCCCCCTTGGCCAGGCGGTGCACCGGCCACTGACAAGGCAAGCAAGCAGCAGCTGCTTCTCCTTGAACGGGAGAGGAGGCTGAGGGCCTTTGTGTGAGCGGGATCCAAACAAGCCTCTCAAGAGGGATCAAGAGGCTGCCCAAGTGGACTGCAGATGGGATGGGAAAGGAGACGGAGTCTTTCTTTTCTTTCCTTTTCACAAAGAAATCTCAGGGAGAAAAATGCCTCCGTGAGCGACCCTTTCCCTTTCCTCGTAGCAAAGCTTATCCAGATACTATGATCCCCTGTCCTCTCCTCACTGGTGGGTCTGAAGATGCAGCCTCCGACTGTTTCAAAACAGAAGAACTCCACCTCCCTTGCCCTCCCACTGCCTGGATGGAGCCACACAGGTCCTCCAGACTCAGCTCCTCACTGGGACCTCGTGGCCGCAAATAAGTGTGACCCAGGTTGAAAGTAGGACCCTTAGTCCTCTCTCCACGTAGGGCAACTTCATCCGGCCATCATTAATCCATTGTCCCCAAAGTGACTTTAGGGTGCAGGTTGCTCGGAGGCAGATTTTGAAAATAGGCTCTTGATCTCTAGGGTGGCAGCATCGAACAGCTGCAGCGTGTGCCCAAAGCCCAGGCCTGAGTGGGCCAGGTAGGGTACCATCCTGTCGTGACTACATGAGAGAGGCAGAGGCAGGGCAGGACCAGACAGTCAGGGACGACAGTAAGGCTCAGTTCTTGGTTTGCTGACGGTGTACCTAGAGGCATTCTTGTGGTGGAGGTGGGCTCCAAGGAAGCTCTTGAGGAACGAGTAGGGTAACCATGGTGTCCCACAGAGCAAACAGGCCCTGAGATGGTGGACTGTGGAGATGGCAAGCATGCCTATGTTTAGAGGAGTGTGCGGTGGGGGTTTTGATTGTGCATCTTGACAACTTCAAAGTGAATTGATGCGGAACTTAGAAATCTGCTAGAGAAGATTCTAGTAATGATAACCCTTGATTGCTTGCATGGGGCAGCAAAGTCAGGAAAGATACCTGAGCTAAGGTCCAGCAGGCTCCCAGAAAGTTACCATTGCTACCCCAAGAAGGCACCCCTAACAGTCTCCAGCCCTCAGAGTATTTTTTTTAGAGCTGTGGTCAAGTCCTTCCATGAGATGCTCCTGTGTTTCTGAAGGTGGCCCAGAAAGCCTTCTCTGAGATGGTCAATGGAGGCCAGAAAAGGCCACTGGCCTGGCCTAGCACAGAGAAACTTTCCCTGGACCATCCATCACTCATTCCATACCTCACACAGGCCCTTAAGTGCACTGCCATGGTATGGGACACTTGGCAGGTCACCATGACGTAGGTGGGGGGAGTGCTAACCGCAGGGGCTGTGATATTGATAAGAGTATCTGAGCTGATTATGTGTCCACGTGTAAATCTGCTGCCACTGTTGTTCCCTGGCCCTACAAAAGTCCTGTGCAGCCCATACATCCTGGCTGCCTTATCTGGGCACATACAGGGTCTAGTCAATAGCTTCAGAACTACCTGTGGGCCCCACCATTCACAGTGCCTCTCCTAGTACAACTGGGTCTCCACACAGAATCCATGACTGGGGTTTTGTGTGGAGAATGTTTTCTGTTTAAAATTTTCTGTTAAAACAATGCTACAAGAGGCTACTGGAATACATGTTTTGAATACAGCTATGAAGGAGATGAAAGGAGACATTAGGGTGTGCAAATAAACAGCATAGAAAGGTCCACGAAGCAGAAAAAAAAAAATCCATCTCCTCTGCCAGCGTGGCCACAGTCAAGCGCGGTGGGTGGAGACTTTGTGTGTCTTTGGTTGTCTGGATGGAGCTTCACCCAGAGCTCAACGGAAGGTGGTATGGCGGGATGGAGGTCTCTTCCAGAAGCCCCTTCTGAGGGCGATGGGACACAAGCAAGCACAAAACTTGGTTAGTTTCCTGGTGCCCCTGAGGATGTATTGTGTAAGTTCCCATTTAGGTGTGTAAGTTAGACTTGGATTTCACCATGGTGCGCTGACACAGCAATACTTCTGACGGGGTGTCTGCCAGAGCAAGCGGCGGCCTGCTAGCTGCTCTACTGTCCAATGCACACAGAAATCACACAAACCAAGTAAGAGAACATAGCTATACCGATAGAAACAGGGCCTTGACCCTCTCATTTTATTAAAATGGCACGTAAATATTAAAACAGCATACTGAGCAAGTTAGACTTCTGCAAGCCCCGGACGAGGTGCTGCGGAGTGGCCCGAGGGCTCCCTGTTGCAGGTTGCAGACTCATGCATTGAGCAATTCATGTTCTTTATCGGTTTTCCCAACAGCATCAGGATTTGATAAGGGGTCGAGGTCAGCAAAGAGGCTGAACCAGGCAGTCAGGTCCGAGGCAGCCTTGGCAGGCTCTGGGGAAAGAAGGAGAAACATGAACAAAAGCACCTTTTCAAGGACCACCTCTGCCATGCTGGGCTCAGGCACCCCATGACCCTTGGTCTCTAACAGTTAGGGAATTCTCTGTCTCCTCAGCTGATACTCCCAAACCGTCACTGGAGGGTCCATGAAGAAGGGGCTATGTTCTAAGTAACTAAGTACCACCTGTAGGGACACCTCCAGTCACAGCTCACAAAACTGCTCAAAATTCCACACCCTGTCCTTTCGCCTCAACCAGGAAACGGCATGGCTATTTCAGAAATCACACTGAATGGCAGAAGCAGCGAGGTGCTTTCCAGTGTCTGCTAGAGGGATCCATCAAGTCCCCTGGGTCAGGAGCAATCAGGGGTTTCTCTTTTCATCCTTCAAAGACCAGGCCCGGAGGAGGTCATGCCATGCCCAGCCTCTCTGCCATTGCGGTGATTGCCTTTTTTTAACCTTTTCCTGCCAAAGGCAAACGGTCCTGGGAGTGCCTTCCCTTCCCTTTGCAGGCTTGGAATCCCTTCTGCGGCCTCACTGGGGCCCTTCCCTCTGCTGCTGTTCCATCAAAGCACCGGCCCTAACTCTGCCAATACCATGGTTAGACAGCCAAAGTATCTTCCAGATGAGGAGAGAATTTTCAAAAGAAGGGTTGCTTGCAAGCAATTTATAAACAAGCATGGACTCCTCCATATAAACCATTCCATGTGAGGACCTAGCTCACTGGCTCAATAATCCATGCCCCCGCCCATCTCCAACAGGTGGAGGTGTCAGAGGCATGAAAGAATGCCTCTCTAGTAGGGTACCCTTGTAGCGGGCAGCGGCGAGGAATGTGTTTGCCATCTGGCTGGAAGGAATCTCAAGAACGGCTAGAGTGAAAGGATAGAATGGGATGAGAGTCACATAAACCATCTTTGTGTCTTCATAATGACACCAAACTGTTATGACGGTTAGTGAAGCACTTCATACTCGAGGCTCACCTCTCCGTTTCTACTCCGGCTACCCAATAGGTGCATTACCTCGTAATGACAGAATCAATTATGTCATAAGAGTTGTGATAAGGCTAGTACACATAGGAACAGCAAGTAATGGCAAGACTATAGTTAGAATGGTCCTCTGAATAGGTGGTGACTACAAGCAACCTTAATTGGATTCTACGCGTTTAGCCCTCACAATCCCCGGACTGGAGAGAATCACAGATCATCATGTTGCAGGTCATATGAGGACACTGTATGGGGCAGGACTGATCAGATGGATTAGTTCATCTCAGTTCTTGATAGAGAATATAAAGATATCTCCAGGGAAAATACACATGCTCCATACGTACTTCCCCTTCCTCCTAATCTCTTGCATAGGCTGAGAAGGTCCCCAGAGTGTCATCACAGCCCTGCAGTCCAGAGAGTGATCACAGCCCTGCAGTCAGAAGTTAAGGCAGGTGATTGCACTTCAAGGCAACCCTCAGATCCCCCAGGTCTCCACTACGAGGAAAGCCAGGTGCAAATTATTTGCACAGCACTTAAAAGAACACCACAGGAACCATTTCTGACAATAATGGGGCAGACGTTTCCTCTAATGTCCTGTGGTCAAAGGGAGAGGGGGTGATGACCAAAGGAACCGAGATAGAGCTGTGAGTACACATGAGATCTTCTGTCCAGCAGATGCTCACTTCAGGGCCCTGCCCCAAACCAGAACAGATCTCACAAGCTTGAAAGGACCTCTTTTGACAGCTAAGAAGCCCTGCCCTTCCTGAGGCCCTCTCACTCTGTTCCTTATGTGGTGAACAACGGTATTTTTAAAGTCGGCAGACCACAGCGGGCTTTCCTACTTTGCTATTTTCAGCTTATTGTCTCAAGGATCACACAGAGATGTGCATACTGGATGCATGCTCATTAGCTCATTAGAGGTGTCTGATGAGGGGACCCATGAGTGAGGACAGTGAGCCAGGAAAACCAAGCCAGAATGTGATTCTAGGATCATGCATAACTCCTCACCCCACAGCCCTGCATTCGAGTGCTAATGCACAAATTCAAAGTAGTAAAGGATTATAGGGAGAGTGATAGGGCTGCTGGAAAGTGAGGCAGCTGTCATGGCAGGGGGTTAAGACTGTCACCTTTCAGTGCAGAGCTGTTGTCATTTGAATTACTTGTCTTTGGTGCCGGCCATGGGGCATGAGGACTGACATTGCTCTCTGGCCAGCCTAATATTCAAAACCAAAGGACATTAGATCTAGCAAGGACAGCCACAACACCCCATTGGTTGCTGGGCACATATGGGTTCTAACCCATGGTGGCCTCCAGCAAGAAGGCAGAGGATGGTGTGATGAGACCTTTCTCTCATCTTCCTCAGACCGGGAAACATTTGAGGGGATGGGAGAAGCATCGGATCATATTCAACTGGGATACCTGGGAAATCAAGGAAGACCGTGGACTTTGAGCAGCAGCCAAGAAGCTGCTAGCATCAGAGCACTGCTTTTGCCTTTTTTGCTTTATACCCAGTTTTCATGCCGAGTATGACGATTTATTTCATAACCACACCAAAAAGCATTAGAAAATCAAGAGCCGTGGTTTCCTGTCGCAAACGGGGAAAGCTTAAACTTGAATGAGCAGAAGGACAGAACTACTAACCACACATCTCTACCAAGGTTGCATGCATCTGCTTCCTCTACATTTGGGAAGATAAATTAATAGTTAAATAAATAGCAGCCCATTCCAATGATGTGTGGGGAGAGCTTGCGTGAGCATTAACTCTATGGCATATCTTCCTGCCTGCAGAGCACGGGTGGAGGCCTTCAGCACTCTTGCACTAGGGAAGCAAGCCCCATCCCTCACAACATTTACTGTTTGTCCTGAATATTTTGGCATGAATCATCCTTAATTTAGAAATTTACCAGAGACATCTTTGAACCTGTGCTTTAGTTCTTTGTGTTCAAAGTCTTGAAAGAGGCATGCCATCTAACACCCCAAAATACTTAACACAGAACAGGTAGCTGTTTGCTGATTAAGCCCACATTAAAATGTTGAGCATCAAACAGGGTATCAGTATGGAGACATCATTCCTAAAACGCTGTCCTTTGACTGAGATGAGCTTACAGCGTTTTGTATTTCTTTGCCAAGTCCTCAAGAGAGACTGTGCTTGGATTGCAGAGTTCAGATAGGTCAGGGAATACAGTTTTCAGTGCAAGAATGTCATTCCGTATAGGCTACAAGAATGATACGATTGAAGACCGTTTGTTTATCCTGCTATTCTAACATCCACACTTTCCAGTGGACTCAGTTACAGAATTATTACTTTGTATTTTTGCCACATTCAGGAGTCATGGGCTGTTGAAGCCAGGGTTCACTTATTCATTTTTGATTCATTAAGGACACTGCCTGGCACACAGTGGGGGTTCAGATATATGACTCTTGAATTAAGATAAAGTATTTAAACCCCCTTTTAACTGGCAAGAAGCACACTCTTGGTGTGTTATCTGAAGAGATGGCAACCCATATGATCCCTAATTCTAGCTAGATGTAGTTCATTTTAGAGAGGAAGTACACAGACTTAGTAATGAAGACTGACAAGTAATGAAACAGATGGCCTGCAACCTATTTCCTTGGAATAAAACAATGGAAAGCAGAAAGGATTTTAAACAGCATTGCTATTCATTGAAACAGTACTTAAACACATACAGTCAGCATGATTCATATACAGTCAGGAGCTTCAGGTATCACCAGCGCCTCCTGGGATGCTGGGCTTCCAACCTCACCGTAGGAATTTACAAGAAATCCTTGACCTGTTCTCTTAAAGCTAGTGAATTTTATGGCATGTAAATTACACTCCAATAAAACAATTTTAAATGACTAGCATTCGATGTGATCCAGAAATAACAAAATCTTCCCAGTTCTTAGAAAACTGGCCCTTAACCATTTTCCTTCTAGACCCAAATCACACAAAAGCAGTAAAAAAAATGAGAAAAGCGAAAGTTGTGGGGCAAATGCGTGCCCAATGTTCCAGCTACAGGAAAGGCTGTAACTTGGTAGCTGGTGCCCCTCTTCCCTGTAGTCCTTCCTGGTCATCATGTCTGCCCGCCAGCAACCTGCGCCTCCTTTCCTCCAGCTCTACAGCCTGGCTTCTGGCTGTGCATCACTTGTAAGCCAGTTACAGATGCTTAACCCACATCACCTGTGAGCCAGGTAGGGATGCTTACCCAGTATCATCTGTGAGCCAGGTAGGGCTGCTTACCCAGTATCATCTGTGAGTCAGTTAGAGACGCTTACCCTATATCATCTGTGCGTCAGTTAGAGACGCCCCAATGTCACCTGTGAGCTGGCCAGAGGCACTGATTGACTGAAATGGAGTCCTCGAGGCCAATGTAAGTTTAGAGAACAGTGCCCTGGATGGCTGTTGGCTAGCTAGATCAGCATGTTTATTAGGTCAGTGGGGCCAGAGCAAAGAGATGAGCCCTTTTAGGAAGCAGAGGGACTTACTTCAGGGCCTCAACTTCCTAGACAACCACAAGAAAGTTTGCGGCATTAGGCTATTGGATATCACTGTGTTCTCTGACTGAGTTCATGGAGGTGAACCTGAATCAAGTCAGGGAAAAACTCTGTGGGGAGTGCAGGAGTAGATGCTGCCCTTACACCCATGTGCTATTTGATAATGGAAGCTTAACAAGAAAATACTTCCTACTTCAAAACCATGGATGACATTCATTTCCAAGCACAGCTATCAAGAACACTGGAGTAAAGAGGGGTATTTGGCTCACTGTGTCTTTCAGAGTACGGAATTGGGTATGTTTCCCAAGGCAGTAGGAAGCCCTCTAAAGTAGTCTGCCTCCCTTTATGGAACATGCGACTTGAAAACTTACAAACGAATCTGTATATTGTTACATCTGAAACATACCAAAAACATAAACTGAATTTTCTCTTTAAAGATTTGTTTTAATTATATGTACAACTGTGTTTCTGTATATAGGCATGTGTGAGTAAGTGTAGATGTTATGGAGGCCAGAGGC